GGTGTTTTGCAGATTCTACATTATTCTTTAGCGTTGCATAGTATTCCATTGTGTGAATGTACCAAATTATCAACTCTCTTTATCTGATATTTTGCATTTACAACAAAAGTAAAAAATCTCCTATCTGACTATTTTGTGCATTAACAAGGTAGTGGGCATGGCAGCAATGGGTGTGGAGCACCCTTCCTTCAAGGAGGGGCCAGGCTCCCAGCTCCCTCACAGGAAGCCCTGAGCCTTCATTGCTCACTAGGCCAGAGGGCAGAGCAGGCTCCTGATTGTGAGTGTAGGGCTTGCAGGGATGGAAGTGGAACCCTGGAAGAGGTTTCACAAGGAAAGCTCAGACCTAGCACCAGAGGAAAGTGAAGTGGCTAAGCCATAGACCCTCTAGTCAAACAGCCTGGCTTTACTGGCTGTGTCTCCTCCAAAGCTCCTTCTCCACAAGGAATAACTGGACTCGTCACAGCGAGAAGCACATCAATAAATTGTAGCTGTTATTTCTATGATCATATTTGCCAAATAAAAATAATTGGAAAAAAATGGATGATCTGAAAACAGAAAAAAAAAAAAAAAAAAATCCTCCATTTTAGAATGACACCCATTTTCACATAATGACATTGTCTTTGGAACCTAACCATGTCGATAAGTGAGGAGTGGGTGTAGTTACTACATGATTAGTAACTGAGCAGAAGCATTTTAAAAATTTTCTCGTTTTCCTTTAATTACTACCTCATTCTCAAAAAAGTTACTGATATAGTTTCACAAATACTATCTACCATGATATTGTGGCTAAAACGCCAGGAAATTTGACAAAATCAGTGACTATAAAAGCACCAGAAGCAATGAAAACAACAGCGTGTGCTTATAGCTCATGTCAATGAAACACACGTTACATTGGGAGCTCTCGTAGCGTAGTACCTAAGGCACTTGACTGCTTATCAGCTGGTGGTTCAAACCCACCAGCCACTCCTCAGAAGGTAGATGGGGCAATCTACTTTTGTAGTAATACTGCCTTGGAAACCCAAGGAGGGGTCGCTATGAGTCGGGTCCGACTCAACGGCACATAACAACAACAACACATGTGATTTGAAGCCTCGTTGTAACTGGGTAATAATGACAGCTCTGACTGGAATGCGTTGTTGTTGTTGTTGTTAGTTGCCGTGGAGTCAGTTCTGACTCATAGTGACAATGTGTACAACAGAACAAAACACTTACTGGTTCTGCACCATCCTCAAGCATGATTGCCATGGTTGAGCCCATTGTTGCAACCATTTTGTCGATCCATCTCGTTGAGGGTCTTCCCCTTTTTCAATGGCACTATGCTTTTTACCAAGGAGCTCTGGTGGCATAGTGCTGAAGGCATTTGACAGCTAACCAGAAGGCTGGTGGTTCAAACCCCCCAGCCACTGCTCGGAAGGAAGACTGGGCAATCTTCCGTAGAGATACCACCTCGGAAACCCAAGGAGGGGTCACTATTAGTCGGATCTGACTCAATAGCACTGAGTTTGGCTTTTGGTTTGGTGTTTTACCAAGCATGATATCTTTTTTGGGGACTGGTCCCTTCTGATAACATGACCAAAGTATGAGAGACAAAGTTTGGCCATTCTCACTTCTAAGGAAAATTTCATCTATACTTCTTCCAAGGTAAACTTGTTTGTTCTTCTGGCAGTCCATGATATTTTCAATATACTTCGCCAACACCGCAATTCAAATGAATTCTTCTTAGATCTTCCTTATTCATTGTCCAGCTTTCACATGCATATGAGGAGATTGAAAATACCATGGCTTGGGTCAGGTGAACCTTAGTCTTCAAAGTGATAACTTTGCTCTAACATTTTGAAGAGGTCTTTTGCTGCTTCTATGGGCATTGATCATGGATCCAAGTATAACAAAGTCCTGGACAACTTCAATCTTTTCTTCATTTCTCATGATGTTGCTTATTGGTCTAGCTGTGAGGATTTTAGTTTTCTTTATGTTGAGGTGTAATCCATACTGAAAGCTGTACCCTTTGAATTTCATCAGTAAGTGCTTCAAGCTTTTACTTTCAGCAAGCAAGGTTTGAACAGAACAAGGGACACTGGGTGGTTTTAAATCAGGGAAGTTGTGTGTCAGGGTTGTATCCTTTCACAATACTTATTCAATATGTATGCTGAGCAAATAAGCCAAGAAGCTGGACTATATGAAGAATGTGATGTCAGGACTGCAGGAAAACTCATTAACAACCTGAGATATGCAGATGGCACAACGTTGTTTGCCGAGAAAGTGAAGAAGACGTGAAGCACTTACTAATGAAGAGCAAAGACTATAGCCTTCAGTATGGAGCACACTGGAAGTTAAAAAAAAAAAAAAAAATTAACATAGAGTTTTAACTTTGTAGTTATATTGATACATAAAAGCTGGGCTTAGGAAAAATGTTTTTGGTGTTATAACTTACTACAGGGATATTTTTACAAAAAAATAATAAATTTCTGCTGAGACACTGCAATAAAATTTTGGTGTCAGCCTCTCTGATAGTGTCACCTGATGTGGTCTGTGCCTGCCCTCCTCTGCTCAGCACCCCCGTCCCGGACACCACTGCTTGAGATTGCTTTTTAATTGTCCCCTAAATTCCTGCAAACACCTAAAAAAGGTTCATCTTAGCATCCACACTGGGTCAGCATCATAAATTCTGTCAAATCCTGTTAGTTCAGTGGAGGATTTGAGGGAGAGCAAATTAGATGCCTGACATGTATAGATAAGGGAATTTGCTTATTTTGCTTTTCAGCCTTTAATGTTGGTGCAGACACAAAACCACAGTGTTTGTTGTCATGTGCCCACAGGATAAAAGCCTCTGGAATATTTGGGGCCCAAAAGGGGAAAGGTGCAGAGGAAAGAGTGGTGGGGTCTGAAAGGTGGTCAGTCAGAATGTCTCATGAAGGTCTTTTGCAGTCAGAATTCAAACTGCAGAATGGTGCAAGGATCAGGAGTTCAACCTGTCACTGATGGTTCAGTTCCCTGAGGAGGATGTCTGGGGCTGGAGCTCGAGATTTTAGAAGTGTCGGTCCAACATCTTCCTAAGGGCATCAAGTCTCTTAACTAACTTCCGGTCTTCCTGATGACTGGATATTGAAGCGTCCAGCCCTTTCAGGTTTTGCCTCAGAATGGAGTTGGTATCCACAGACGTCGCAACTGGGTAACTGCTTTTCATTTTCACAGCTTTTGGAAGAGCTGGAGCTGTGTGTGAGGTGTAGCTGTGTGGTAAGAATCGTGCTCTGTAATCACTTCTTGCTTTGGCTCGGTATGCCATACAAGGGACCTATCGCATGTGCGTTCATATGAGCTTGCCAGAGCCAGAGAACTTGAGTCCAGAGCAAATTGGGAGATATTACTGCCCCCAAGGCAAATGTCACACTTCAGAGCGGTGCGGATGGGATCTTTGTCATAATTGCAATTGTACCCAAATCTGTGGTCCGGCATGCTATCCAGGATGCACCCAAGACAGTGCAATCACGCCTCAAACTAAGGAGACAGACAATACACACGGTAGCAGGACCGGCACTCCCAGGCCCGAGCACTTACAGGCTGGCAGGTACCTCCCGCGTAGGCTGAGAGGTCAGCGGGATGCAGGCCTAGGAGTGTGAAGCTGGCGAGAGGAGATACCGAGCACTCGCTATTGGGGCATCAGGGTGGCAGGTCTCACAGTGCGGGCCCAGGCTAGTCCGCAGAAAGGCAAGTACGCCCCGGCAGCGTGGGGGGAGGGGGATGTGCTTCCTCCACATTCGACCCGCCGATCAAGCCCCGCTTCCCGGAGCCGGAGGCACCCCCAACCCTGCAGCTACAGCCTCTACCCCGTGCGGGCGCAGCGGGACCACGAGCGGCGCCCGACACTGGCTGCGAGATGGATTCCCGCTCACACAGTGGTCCCCTGAAGCAGCTGCCCCATTTTCCCTGCTCCTCACGGGGCCTCTCACTCGCGGCAGGCGCCCCTAGGAGCATCTCGCGATCAGAGCAGCGCCGTGGGCGGGGCCTCTCACAGGCCGCCCCAGGATTGGCGGTGGGAGGCAGAGGGCGGGGCCAGCCCGGGAGAAAACAGCGCGCGCAGCCGGTGCAACACCAGACTCAAGCCCAAGCCCTTTCGAGCAATCGCCTGACACCTTGTCGGGTGCTTTTGCCTGCATACTGCCCTGCTCTGTCCTCCTTGTCGCTCCCGCGCAGCGCGATCCTCCTTCCACCCCAGAACTCCGGTCCAGCGCGCTGTAGCCTCGGTCCCAGCGGCGATGCGCCTTATTCAAAACATGTGCACCATTGCCGAGTACCCCGCCTCGGGCAATGCCGCTTCCGCCGCCGATTGCTGCCTGGGGGCTGCGGGTCGCCGGCTCGTCAAGATCGCCGTGGTTGGGGCTAGCGGCGTGGGCAAGACCGGTGAGTTCGCGTGCTCCGCAGACTAGTGGCTCATCTTCGAGACTGGACATGGGCAACCCCCGCTGGGAGTTGCGGGTAAACGAGGCGCGTGGGGGAAGGTGGGAGTTGCAGCTGGACCTGCCACCCACTCCTGTTGATCCGCTGTCGCTCCAGGAGGAACCTTATGCACCATCGCTCCATCATCGCTTCTAACCCCTCCTACAGATGAGGGTGCTGGGAATGGCCATGCGGCTTTCCCGTCACCACCGGCATAACTAGGATCAGAGTTCTGTGGTTTTTGAGCCTCTGGCAGTGCCTGGCACAGGGAGGGAGGGGCGCCGGTGCACGGAGCCCCTCCTGGAGGTCTTAGGTTCGGAAAGACATCTGTCTAGTGGAAGGCCTAGGTGTGGCTCAGCCAGGCTCAGGGGCGTGGGGTGGGCCAAATGACCCTTCCAGCTGGACAGAGCCATAATTCACGGTGCCTTCAGCCTCCTCTCCCTTGTCTCTGGAAGGAGGGTCAAGGAGCTGCAGGGTAGGAATTTCACGTGGTGGCCCTCAGTGGCTTTCTCCGTGAGAATTGTTTTCCAAGCTGGGGGTGGGGTGGAGACTAATCTTAACTTCTTGTGCGAGGGTTCACCCTTTTTGGTTTCTCTTTTCTGACCTACAGCTCTGGTGGTGCGGTTCCTTACCAAACGTTTCATCGGTGACTATGAAAGAAACGCAGGTGAGGAAATGGATTGGAGGAAAATGTTCTAACTTGTAACAGTATTGCTGTTCCCGTTTTTCAGTATCTCCCAGGCAGGTTCCTTCAGAAATGATCAGGATCCAGCTACTTCTAGTTTCGCACTGCCCCAGTGAACCCCACCCCCCACCCCCGTAACTACGGTCTGGCCTCAGTCCCTTCTGAACCCATTCATCATTTTATCAAGTGCCTGAAAGTATTCCTCTTGGTATGTTTTAACTGTAGGGACCCCAGTTGGAAGCACCTTTTTGTACTGAAGAGCCTGAGCCTCCCAAACACTCCTGCAAAGTCATAAAAAAAAAAAAAAGGCAGCTCCTCCCCCCCACCACTCTCCCTCTCTGCTGGCTGCCTTTAAGAGTGACCTTCTTAAAGCAAAGGCCAAAGGACAGCAGTTGTAAAGCTGAACTTTTCTTAACAAAGAAAAGATGACTAGATGGTAGAATTTGAGGAGGAGAGGCTCTGATACACAAGAGAACACGTATTTCCAATCCCTGTCATTAGGACTGGCCACTGGACTGGCTTCCAGAGGTTTCTACTTCTGCTCTGTTAGCAAATTGCCAAACTTCTCTGACCACATGTGGCACCTTCAGGGGATTATTTAGAATGAGCTATATAAGCCATCCCCAGATAAGACATGGCTGTCTTCCGCTTTGATGTGGATTTGGCTAGCATTATGTCACATTTTTATTCTGCTGTTAAGATTGGCTCTGCATTTACTAATAATATTTGCCTACTGAGCCATTATATCTAATAGCTAAAATATAAGTTTGTGTGAGAGTGATAAACTATTAAAATAAAATAGAAATTCCACACATGTTGAGCAAGAAAATGTTCTCCAAGGAAATAGCTTAAATATGGGAGGTCTCTTTAAAAACAGAGCAAGTGTCACAAAATCCAAATTTTACCATGGTTTTAATGAATCCACTAACATAGGGTTAAAGAAAAAATGAGTTTAAAATACATCTGAAATATGTCCATGAAACAGAAATGAATTTTACTTCTGTGTCTTTGGTACAGACTATATTTTCTTTGTAACTTTAAAAAATTTATATATATATATATATATATAATTACTTTTTAAGTTTCACAAAAAGGAACAATTCTTTTTTCTTTGCCTTCATAGGTAATCTCTATACCAGACAAGTCCAAATTGAGGGTGAAACCCTGGCTATTCAGGTTCAAGACACTCCAGGTATTCAGGTGAGAAACTCTTAAGATACGTGATGGGGCAACACAAAGTCTACTTGGCTGTGGCATTGTTCAGTTGTTCTCAAAGTACCTTGTGTCTAAGGAGTAAAGAAATCTGGGGAGTAAAGTCTAGACTTTTACAAGTAGTTTTGGAAAATCCCCCTTCCTCCAAAAAGAATAAAAGATTGTGTTTAAGGGCCAGATTTTTCTCCCTACAGACATATGTAAGCTCCATGGGCAGAAAAGCTGTAGGAGGAGAGGTTTCATGACACAGGATGGGTATGGCTCCCTGGGCATGTGTTACCTGGTTGTGAACTCCAACTGCCAGCCACAGACTTTGTGTAATTAATTGTGAGACTGTATAACTCTTAAAACTGTTGCATCAGGTACAGAAAATAAATGTATCGATTGTTAAAATTCAAACATCGAGGTATAGTCACCAATACTTAGGATCACTTTTATATTGTTGAAAGTTACTCTATAGACTAAAGAGCCATGCTGGTGGGTTTTTTCTCCCCCTCTTGAACTGGGCAGTTTTCCAGGTTTAAATGCTTCCAGCTCCTATCTTTCCTTCCCCAGACTTACTGTCTAGCCAGTTAATTTCCCATTTTGTGCAACTACAAAGTCTCTCTGCATGGAGTTCTCTGCAGGTCAATTTTCCACTTGAGTGTGGTGAGCTGCACTGTTATTTATTCCAACTCTGTGCAGCTGGATCAACATAGTGTCAAGAAGGCTGAAGTGTGTGGGGATATAACTTGTTTATGGCCTGTAACCTGGCATTACTGTGAAGGGCTCTTTTGAATTCTCTATGTAACCACACCAGGGCTCTATATGGCACTATCTGCTCACCGTACGGTCACCTCTCTTTTCCAGGTCCATGAGAACGGCTTGAGCTGCAGTGAACAGCTAAATAGGTGCATTCGCTGGGCCGATGCTGTGGTGATCGTTTTCTCCATCACCGATTACAAGAGCTATGAACTCATTGGCCAGCTCCACCAGCACGTCCAGCAGTTACACCTGGGCACCCGGTTGCCTGTGGTGGTCGTGGCCAACAAAGCTGACCTTTTGCACATCAAGCAGGTGGACCCTCAGCTCGGACTGCAGCTGGCTGGCATGCTGGGCTGCTCGTTCTATGAGGTGTCTGTCAGTGAAAATTACAATGATGTGTACAATGCTTTCCACGTGCTGTGCAAAGAAGTGAGTCACAAACAGCTGCCCAGCAGCACGCCGGAGAAGCGAAGAACCTCCCTCATCCCCAGACCCAAGTCACCCAACATGCAGGACCTGAAGAGGAGGTTCAAGCAAGCCCTCTCTGCCAAAGTGAGGACTGTCACTTCTGTCTGAGACAGGGGCACTCTAGGGGGTTTGGTCTTCCCAGGAAGAGGGCCTGAGGTTCTTCGAATGTGGGAATGTCGAACGCTGGCAGTAATTCATGGTTCCAGAAGGGGCTGGAGCAGAGAGACCACAAGGGCCTATGGAACTGCTGCAGAGAAGGAAGTGCTATTCTGAACGGGAGAACAGGATTGATGGGCCTTCAGTGAGCCTGCCGTGCCACGCTCTATGTGAAATGTACTCTCTGTCTCTTCCTTTTGAGTGGAAAGGGAGGCATTATTGCTTTGTTTTTTGTTCATAACCACCTTGTAAATGATCAGTGGTAGTGTCACAAAATATTGATGTGGTTTACAATGAGAATGAAAGAACAGATTAAGCATTCACTTACTTTCTCCCTTCCTTTTTTGCTTTCTTCTTTTTTTTTTTCCTCTTAAAAGGAAGAATTGCTTTTATCAGTATGACTTGCACGTCTGGAACACTATAGAGAATGCCTTTCTAACCTGAAGGATACCTAGATGTCTTCATTTAAGAATAATCCTCCTTTTTAAAAAAAAGAAAAAAAAAAAAAGATTGTATTTAAGGGCCAGATTGTTCTCCATACAGACATATGTAAGCTTGCATCTGCAGAAAGGCTGGAGAAAGACAAGGTTTCCCAACACAGGATGTGAATGGTTTACTGAACATGTGTTGTGTAGTTGTGAACTGAAACTCTTCAGCCATAGACTTCGAGTAATTGTGAGACTGTATAATTTTAAACTGTTGAATCAGGTACAGAAAAAAATAATAATAAATTGATTTTGGTGTGATTTGTGTAAACAGTGCATGGCAATGACATAAGGTTGGTTTCTAGGCCCAACTAAATCATGGCAATGGGTGGCTAAAATACAAAAACATTATCTGACAGCAAGTGAACAGATGCAGGGGCTACCCTGCCAAATCCCCTACACAGAAGCACTTTAAAAGCCACTTGTGCTTTGGCTTAAACTGTAATTTATTTTATGTACAATAAATCTTCATTTCAAAAGACTATGTGTCTTTTTTCTTTTTTTTTAAATAATTTGTTTTTCTTGTTGAAAACATACACAGCAGAACATACGCCAATTCAACAATTTCTACATGTACAATTCAGCGACATTGATTATATTCCACAAGTTGTACAACCATTCTCACCTTTTCTGATCTGTTCCTCCCTCATCAACGTAAACTCACTGTTTCCTATCTAACCTCTTGAGTTGCTGTGCTTAATTTGCTCCTACACTGATCTTTAAAACAGCACAATGTTCAAGACACCTTCTTTGCCAATTAAGCTAAACTATTAACATAGTACCTAAGGCACTTGACTGCTAACCAGAAGGCTGGCGGTTCAAACCCACCAGCCACTCCTCGGAAGGAAGGTTGGGCAATCAACTTCCGTAGTGATGCTGCCTCGGAAACCCAAGAAGGGGGTCATTATAAGTTGGGTCCCACTCGATGGCACGTAGTAACAATTATTTGGTTTAAAGAAGATAGCGAACAAGGGCTGTTTTTGGTTGAAGGTTTAAAAGTTACCTAGGCAATAGTTTTGGGGGTTCATCCAGCTTCAATGACTCCAGAAAATAAGTCCAGGAGAATGTAAAATTGTGTGCTGCATTTTTCCTCTTTTGATCAGGACTCATAGACTCTTTGATCAAAATCTTCAGTAATGGTAGCTGGGCACCATCCAGTTCTGATCTCATGGCTGACTTGGCTTTTATTGAAATGCTAACCTCTGCCCTTCATCTGATGAAGTATTAGTATCTTATATTGATTGGTCATGTGGAGTTAGGCATTATGCCATCTAGGGGTTGTCTCTTAAGTCGCACAGCAAACTAGTGCAGTACATTCTATTACACCCACATTACAGATGAGGAAACAGGCACAAGTTAAAAGCTCATCAAATGCTGCAGCATACAGTTGTTAAGTGCTGTGGGGTCGGGTCCTACTCATAGCGACCCTATGACCCTATGTACAACCGAACAAAACACTGCAGCATACAGTCAATGTTGCAAATTGTAATTTGTCTATGTTTTATATTCAAGAGTGCTATGTATCCTATTACTTCCTTCAGGGTCCTCCAGGAAAATTTAAGACATATCTGGGTATACACTTTATACTGTTAGGACATCTTTCAGCAAAAGTACTAACTTCTGTACACAAGATTACTGATTTCTCCGTACATGCTTTATTTGGCAAACCTCTTCTCTGAGTGCCCTACTTTCAGAAAATTCACCTCGTTCTCAACAGTAGAAGCTCTGAGCTGTTCCAGGAGACACTCCCATGGAGCTTTTGCCACAATGTATGCATGAAACCTGCCAGGCCTCTCATCTGCTTCCATCTGGGCTGGGAGACCTTTCATGCAAGCGGAATGAGTCACCATTTTGATGGGCAAATAATCACACCTTGCATTTGTTTGAGTAGTGCTTTCACATACCTACTCTCAGTTAATCCTCAGGATAACCCTGTGAGAAGGGTGGGGAGGAGAGTTGGGGAGGTGTTTCTATCATTTTGCAGATGAGAAAACAGGCTAAGAGTTTTGAGTGATGTGCTCACGTTCATACAAAGGACTAGAATTGATGTCTTCTGACTATTCTTGAGCCCTGGTGGTGCAATGATTAAGCACTCAGCTGATAACCAAAATTCAAACCCACTCAATGGCTCCACTGGAGGAAAACCTGGTGATCTGCTTCCTTAAAGATTACAGCCTAGAAAACCCCATGGGGCAGTTCTGCTCTGTCACATGGGGTCACTTGCAGTTGGAAAACAACTTGACGGCACTTAACAACAACATGCCTTTACATCATTTCAAATGTAAGATACTCCTGCCTGTGGAGCCCTGGGACCACAGGACAACCACCCAAATGAATACTTGTTGAGGGCCTACTCTGGTCTGGTGCCAGACTTTCAAACCTGTGTTCCCACTGGGTAAATATGTTGCCCACTCTTGATAGGGCTTCTGGTGATGTCCCAAACCTTCTTCATATGGAGGGTAATTTTTCCACACTTCAAGCCTCACCTAAATTCTAAGAAGAGTGAGTGGATGGGTTGGGTGGGGGTAGGAGACACTAACATGTGATTGAAAAAATCTCAATTCAAAGGCAGTAATAAATACCACTAGTAACTAGTCTACTCTTATTTCTAGTCATCTTGTGGGAATGAACTAATAGTGTCCAGTGGGTGAGAAACTAATCTTTACATACTTAACAATGTTTTTCTGCTGTATTCTGGAATTACCATTTCATGCGGGCTCTATCTCGCAAAGGTTCTGATGCCTGCCTTATTCTCACTGGCCTGTTGGCCCTATTTCTTTTTCATCTGCTGCACCAGTCTGTGAATCTTTCGCACAGGCTTCTCCTGCACTCCTGTTGAGCGGCACCCTGAACTTCCTGACCTCCCAACCTCACGCAGTCACAGTTACCCCTCACCTCCCACTCCTGCCCTCGACTCAGTCCCTTATATTTCACCTTAGACCACCAGCCTGGAAGGGATCTCAGGGCCCTAGTCCATCCAAAGACGTAAAGTGAGTTAGTTGCTTAAGGTCATTCCAGAAGCAAGGGAGACCAGAGTCCAGGCTGGAAGCCAGCCAAGCCCCAGTTCTGTTCACTATCTCAGCTGATTTGACTATTTATACTTTGAAAACACAGCATCGTCTTCCCTTCTCCTGAATTACCTTCATGTTTCATTACTTTTGTTCACGTCTCATTATTCATATCTTTTCATTTAATGTTTTTTTTCTTAATAGCTTTTATTTATTTATTTATTTTCCAGGTAACTGGGTGGTGCAAATGGTTTACTCTCAGCTCCTAATTGAAAGGTTGAGGATTTGAACCCACCCAGAAGCACCGCAGAGGAAAGGCCTGGCTGTGCGCTTACCTAAAGTTTACAATCAAGAAAACCCGACACAGCAATTCTCCTGTGTGACGCACAGGTGGCCACGAGTCAGAATTGACCCAAGGGCAAGGGGTTTGGTTTTCAGATTTTATGTTGTAGAACTGTTTTAGGTTTGGGAGCTCTGGTGGCATAGTGCCTAAGGCATCTGACTGCTAACCAGAGGGCTGGCGGTTCAAACCCACCAGCCACTCCTGGGAAGGAAGGTTGGGGAATCTACATCTGTAGTGATCAGAAACCCAAGGAGGGGTCACTATGAGTTGGGTCCTGCTCCACAGCAGTGAGTGGTTTTAGGTTTACAGAAGAATTGTGCAGAAAGGATAGGGCGTTCCCATTCTGACAATCCCGGTTTTTTAAATTTGCATTTCTGAACTACAACCACCTGAGCTGAGAAACACCCCTCTCCCACCTAGGTCACCCCTGCGACCCTTCTTTCCAGATCTGACTCTTCTAAGCAAAGCATCTCCTCGGAGCTCTCCTGTAGCTTTTTTCGTAGACGCGGGCCCTCCCTGCCCTGACTCACGTTAGCTTTCCTCAGTCTTCCCTTTGCTGCCATAGGCTTGTGGCTCAGTAACCCCAGGCCCGCCTCGCTGCCACGGCCACATCTGCTGTTGCCATTAGCAGAAGCCTCACTGGCCTGCAGTCCCAGCTCACTAATAAAGACATTCAGGCAGGGGTGGAGGGGGTGGGGGGAGGCAGCACAGCCCGTCTGTCTCAGAACTGGATCCATGTCTGTCGTGATGTCTGGCTTTCGAGTTTCCTCCCTGCCTCAAATCAAAAACACTCGGCAAGCTCTCCAGCCGGCCTGGCGCTGCGCGCTGGGCGAAGGCGGAGAAAACTTCCCGGAGCTCCCGGGCTTCTCGCTGAGTCTGGCATTTACAAGGCGCCGATCAGCGGATTCGCCTGCCGCAGCCAGCTCCTAATTCTGAGTTTAGGAGCTGTGGGTGAATTTATAGGGATCCCCGTGATTTAGGCAAATATGGGATTTTGGCATTCATTTTACACTCCAAGACTGGGAAAACAATTGTGTTTTCGGGGCAAATCCCTTGCAAGTGGGCAGTTGGGTTAACTTTGCCATCCTGACTACAGGAAGTGGTGTACCCCAGTCG